TGTATGTGTGTATGTGTGTATCCGTGTATGTGTGTATGTATGTGTGTATGTATGTATGTGTGTATGTATGTCTGCTTGTCTGTCTGTCTGTCTGTCTGTCTGTCTGTCTGTCTGTCTGTCTGTCTGTCTGTATGTATGTATGTATGTATGTATGTATGGGTGAGTGAGTTTGTGAACGTTGATTTTCAGATAGGTTAGCGAAGGGGCCAAAGGGTGGGATATGTCTTGCTGTTTCGGGCGTTGTCTCCAGGTCTCGCCTGCGCCCGAAACCGTTTCAAGTTCAAGGCACCATGACTCACTGATCAGAGTTTCGAGGTGCCTCCGCGGGCACCCTCTTGCAGGTCTCTCCGCGGCACCCGAGGGGTGCCGCTGTGTTCCACCAGACGGGCCCGCCATGACGCTGGGGGGCGAAGCGGCTGCGGCGGCCGCGCCGCCCGGGCTGGACGCCGCCCCAGGGGGCGAACCGCCGCCGCCTGCCCCAGAGGGCCCCGCCGCCGACGCGAGCCTGGGCAGCTGGTGGCTCGCGGCGGCGTGGGGACTTCTAGCCCTGGCGGGCGGAGGAGCCCTTGCCGCCCAGCTGGGCTCGACGGGGCGGGCCCGCCTCGCGGGCCTCACCGTCTGCGGGCTGGTGGGCCTCCTCGCCACGGCGCGGGTCGCGCGCCAGGCTTGGTGGCTCTACTGTGACCAGGAGGCGACGAAGGCGCAGATGGCCTCCCTCACGGCCCAGATGCAGCAGCTGGCCCTGTCGGGAGCGATGGGCATGCCAGGTGGAGGCTTCCCTGGCGGCGGTCCGCCCGACGGTGCCATGCACGGGTGGGCCGACGTGGGAGCGCCGCCGCCGGGGATCCCGCAGGTGCCGGGCGTGACGTTGGCGGGGCCAGCCACAGGACCCGTCGGGCCCCCAGTGGGTCAGGCCACCCAGGCGCCCACGGGTGCCGCGAGCCTGGACGCGCTGGGGGCGTGGGCGGGCCTAGCCGCCCCGGCCGCCCCAGAGGCGGGCGCCGCAGCCGCTGCGGGTAGCCCGCCATACGTCCCTCAGTACAGGCCGCCCGAGCTGGACAGCAAGGTCCGGCAGCAGGCCAAGCAGGTGAAGGAGCTCCTGACGGCGTTCGCGAACGCCTGGGGGGCCAAGACTACATGTGGGGTCGTCGCTTCTGGTCCAACATCCACACGATGGACTCGAGCGGGCAGCTGGTGCCCGAGGTGAAGCGTCTCCTGACGGGGTTCGGCTACGTAGGCGAGCAGACGGTGACGGCCCCCCGTCATGAGGAGCTCGGGGCCGCGCTGGACCGCCTCGCGTCGGAGGCCGCGCTGACCGCTGGCGCTGGCATCTGGCAGTCCACCCCCAGCCAGGGCCTGGCCGCCGCGGCGGGAGGCTCGGAGGAGACGCGGTGGGGCTCCTCGCTACCAGCGGACCTCCAGCGAGCGGCCCCCGAGATCTACAGGGGTCGACGAGTGCACGTGACTGGATCGCCCAGCGCTACCAGGGGAGTCGGACCAGCCCAGTGTGGGTCGACCTGTGGACTCTTGCCACGTCGGTCGATCTCCGCCTCCGCGACTGCGGCAGCGATCTGGAGATCATGCAGGTGCTGGCCAAGGACGACATGATGGAGATCGGCCTCCGCCGCCTCGCGGCATACGTGTACGAGCAGCGGAGCGGCGACCGCGTCGGGGCCCAGCACATGTTGGGCATCGCGCCGCCTGGCGGCTCGGCCGACGTGGCTCCGACGTGGATGGTGGCCTCAGCGATGATGCACACGAAGATCGAGCACCAGCGCAGGGAGAGAGTCGAGGCTGAGGCACGCCACAGGCGCAAGAATGACAAGGGCGGTGGTCGAGGCGACGGTCGCGGAGGTGGCCGAGGTGGAGGCCGTGGCGGCAAGTCCGCCGACTCCAAGCATGAGTAGGGGCTCGCGGCGCGCCCCGACGAGCCTGCCGTCGGGGCGCGGAGCCCTCCAGCGACGTGGGTGCCTAGAGTGCGTGACGATCTACACCCCTCGCTGCAGCAGGTGATCTCGGCTCAGCCGGGACAAGAGGCGTTCTTTCCCTCACTTTGGTGGATCGCCCGACCCAGATGACGAGCCGATCTAGTCGACTACGGCATCGATTCAAGCGGAAGCTCACCCTGTGGGCTCTCGCCAACGAGTTCGTGCAGGGGATCAACACCATGGACACGGGCTCGTGCAAGGACCTCACCCGCCCCCGCCGCAAGGAGAGCTTGTCGGAGAACATGCTGGGGCTGCACGGCCAGGTGCATAGGGTAGCTCTACGAGAAGCTAAACGGCTGGCAGAGGCGCGCCGGGACTGCGGTCTGACAGGCGTCCCCGCGGTGCTGGAGCTAGCTCGTGTGGAGGAGGTGGGCTATGGCAAGCCGACCCGCCTGTCGACCCATGAGGCCCTGAGAGCGGAGGACATTGATGAGCCGCAAGTAGTGAAGAGTGTGAACATGCTCGAGGCGCTCGAGCCGGAGGAGGCCAGGTACTACAGCGACGAGGGGCTTGTGGTCGCCCCGACGGAGTTGCGCAGCCGCGTGATCTTCGAGGAGCTGCAGGCCAAGTTCGGTTTCGTTGGAGGCACTCAGGAGGAGTACGAGAAGTATGTCAGCCGCTCAGACATGCCGCCCAACCTGTGGCACTTCGGGGGCCCGCAGGAGGTGAAGGCCATCGCGGGCTTCAGCACGGTGGGCAAGAAGACCAGCGGGCGGCAGCGTAAGATCATCATGATGGTGGCGGCTAACTATATGTTTCAGGACGTGAGGGGTCGAGCCGAACGCGGACTACACGGAGGAGGTGCGTTGGCCAGCCTGCACGTCCCGTCGGACGACCGGGCGGCCGCGGCGTTCGACGAGAGCAACGCCTTCTCTTTCGTCGAGGTTCCGAGCTGGATGTGGGGCTGGCAGTGCGTGCCGCCCGCGAGGGCGTCCGCCGTCTGGTGGCTTCTGTCGCCCAGCCAGCGAGACTCTTTGGATCCCGAGAGTTGGGTCTACCCGATGTGGCGTCGTTTAGTCATGGGCAGCTCCCACAGCGTGCACATCCTGATGTCAATCAACGCGAGGATATGCTCCATGACGCTGAGGCGCAGCCTGGTGGACCCGCGGCATGATCACACTCTGGCGTGGCAGGCCGGATACCAGATGCTGAAGGACGACGACTGGGCCGAGCGCCAACGACTTCGACGAGATGGCCCCCCCCCCCGAGCGGGTTTTCCGTGGCGAGCTGGTGCGAGGCAGTGCGCCACGCACGGCGTCAGGAGACCCGTGTCTTCGTGGTCATGCACTTGTTCGCGGGGGCCCGGAGGGAGCAGGACGTGCAGCACTACGTCGAGGCGATGATGGCCGACCTGGAGCTGAAGGTGCTCATGATCTCGGTGGACCTGGCCGAGGACTCGCGGTGGGACCTCGGGCGCGTCGACACCTTTGAGCTGCTCTGGTCCCTGGTGGCCGAGGGCCTGGTGGACGTGATCCTGGGCGGCCCCCCCTGCTCGACCTAGAGCCGCGCGAGGTTCAGGCCTGGAGGCCCACGGCCCTTGCGCCGCCGAGGGAAGTACGCATGGGGGCTACCCCGTGAGAGACTACGGCCTTCCGAGGTGGAGCGACTGGACGAGGGCAACCGCATGATGGTCAACCACCTGGCGCTGTGCGGCGGGGTGGGGGACCGCGGAGGAGCTTGGGCACTCGAGCATCCAGACGACCCTGGGGAGGACCCGTATCCGTCCATCTTCGACACCGAGATCTTGAAGGGCCTGGAGTCCAGGACGGGAGCGCGGCACATCTCTTTTGACCAATGCATGATGGGCGGGCCCTCGCAGAAGCCCACGAGGGTCACAGGTACGGTACGACTGGCGGCCACCGAAGCACTACGGTGCGACGGCGCCCACACACACGAGCTGAGCTACGGTAAGGTTAGCGGTAACTTTCGGACGACCAAGCTGGCCACCTACCCACCTCGACTGTGCAGGTGGATGGCAGAGGGCATCGTGGCCACGCTGTCGGAGATGGCGCAGACCGGCGGCGGGCCAACAGGACACGTACGAGACGGAGTGAAGTGTCAGAGAATCACGTGCTATTCAGGGCCTCTGGACCTCGGCGCTTTTCATTTTTACCTAACAGCGAAGACTGATAGGTTTCTAATGGTGTCAAAAGAGAGCATCTGATGACTCCCCAGGGGGGTCTGTGCGGGAGCCGGACAAGCGAGAACCGGGCTCGTTTTAAGCAAACAATCGCACACTTCGTGCTCTTCGACCTCCCAGAACTCCATTCCCGGGCCACATTTTGAATGCCCGGAGCCAACTGTAGGCCACTTCGTGTTCTTCGACTTCCCAGAACTCCATTCCCGGGCCACATTCTGAATGCCCGGAGCCAACTGTAGGCCACTTCGTGGTTTTCGAGTTCCCAGAACTCCATTCCAGGGCCACATTTTGAATGCCCGGAGCCAACTGTAGGCCACTTCGTGGTCTTCGAGTTCCCAGAACTCCATTCCAGGGCCACATTTTGAATGCCCGGAGCCAACTGTAGGCCACTTCGTGGTCTTCGAGTTCCCAGAATTTTTATTCCTGGGCATGATTTTGAATGCCCGGAGCCAACTGTAGGCCACTTCGTGCTCTTCAAGTTCCCGAACTCCATTTCCGGGCCACATTTTGAATGCTGAGGCAGGCTGATGCTGAGGCTGAGGCAGGCTGAGGCTGAGGGCTGAGGCTGAGGCCGAGGCTGAAGGCAGACTGAGGCTGAGGCTGAAGCAGGCTGAGGCTGAGGCTGAGGCAGGCTGAGGCTGAGGCTGAGGCAGGCTGATGCTGAGGCAGGCTGAGGCTGAGGCTGAGGCTGATGCAGGCTGAGGCTGAGGCAGGCTGAGGCTGAGGCCGAGGCTGAAGGCAGACTGAGGCTGAGGCTGAAGCAGGCTGAGGCTGAGGCTGAGGCAGGCTGAGGCTGAGGCAGGCTGAGGCAGGCTGAGGCTGAGGCTGTTGCGACTGCGACTGCCGTTGCCACTGCGACTGTCATCGCGAATGCGACTACGACTGCGAGAACAGCAGAATTCTACAACTGGATTCTCATCTGAATATTAAGGGGAATGCTTCCAGATTTGCTCCTGCACATCGCTGTTAGGTTGCTTTGCCGGGATAATTTGAACGAGACGTCCTCGCGAGGCCGCGGGGCAGTGCTGGGCGCGAGGGACACGAGCTTCTACCTCCATATCGACGACGGCCTGATCGCAGCGGACGGCGGGACCCAGCAGTCAGGCGAGAAGAAGGTCAACAAGCTGGTCCACCAGGTGGCAGACGCGCTGGAGGACGTGGGCTTCGTCGTGAAGGATCGGAGGGAGCACGGCATGGTGGGTCGCATCGTGGGCTACGAGGTGGAATCTAGCCCCGCACGAGTGCGGGTCCCGAAGCGCAAGGCGGCGCTCATGTACGAGGCGCTGCTACTGCTCACGAGCCGGGACTGGGTGCACCTGGACCACCTGGCGTCGGTCATCGGGGTCTGGATCTGGGCGGCGCTGCTGGCCAGGCACTGGCTGTCGGCGCCTCAGCACCTGTTTCACCTCGCACGCCAGGAGGGCCCGCGCTGGAGACGGTGGTGGCCGTCGGCCCGCCGCGAGGCCGTGGCCATGCGGCGGGGTATCATGGGGCTCTACGCTGACCTGGGGGCCCCGCTGCTGCCGATGGTCTTCGCCTCGGACGCCGAGGGCGCGCAGGACTTCGACGCGGGCGGCTACGGCATCGTCGTGGCCGCGGCGAACTCGAAGATCGTAGAGGAGCTGTGGAACGCTGGCACTCGCCCTGGCGTGGCCGTCGCCAAGCCGGGGCAACTGCAGAAGGTGCTGGAGCGAGGCCCTGAGACGCTACAGCCTTTCCTGCCAGTGAGCTCGGTTGAGAGGGGTTGGATCGACGGAGAGGCCTCCTGGATCCCGGTCGAGTCGGGCCGCTGGAAGGTGCCTGACCACATCGTACTGGGAGAAGGGCGGGCCGCGCTGAAGGTCCTGTCGCGTCTGGCGCTCCTGCCAGAGGCTCACCGCTCGAAGGTCCTCAGCCTCGAGGACATCATGGCTTTCGCGGGCGCTGCGGCCAAAGGCCGATCGGCCGCCGGCCCCGTGAACTACTTACTCAGGCGGAGGTGCGCGTTGTCGAGCGCCACGGAGATCAGGGTGCACCTCCCCTGGGTGGAGACCGAGAGGATGCCCGCGGATGGCCTCTCACGCATGAGAGGATGTGGTCAGGATTCAGAGGGGCACAACGCCCCGGTGCCGAGTGTGGACGCGCGCAGCGTGCGCATCATCCAGAACTGACTTTCTCGAGCCCGAGGGTGCCAGACGACAAGCACCCGGAGGGCCGTGTGCAGCCTGAGACATTGCTAACCTATCGCAAGCGAGCAGCGGAGTTTTACCAGTGGTGCGTGGCCGAGGGGGCCCGCCCCTGGAGCCCTGACGAGTGGGGCGACACGATCATGGAGTACAGGGCCTCAGTGGACTTGCTCAAGAGTCATTTCACCTCCCTGCTCGCCGCTATCGAATTCAAGCTTCCGCGGCTGAAGGGCCGCCTTTGCAGATGCTACGCCGCCTTGCGCGGCTGGGAGTTAGAGCACCAGACCAAGCACACAGTGTCGATGGTGAGCACCGCCCAGGCTTTCGTCAGCGTGCGGCTCAGCGCACTCGGAGAGCCTCGCCTGGCCATCGGCCTCATGTTGCAGGGAAAAGTGGGGATGCGGCCCAGCGAGATGCTGGGCATCGTCGCGTCCGATCTCGTCTTCCCCGAGGAGTCTGGGCACGGTCGAGGTCGAGGGCCCCTGATAGTAGGCTTGGGTATGAAGGCGAACACCAAAGCGAAGCGCCCCCAGTCGAACGTCATCCTGGAGGCCTCCAGCCCTGCATTGGTGGATCTCCTGAGGACCCTGAAGGCCCACGCGCCCCCAGGGGGCCGCATGTTCCCCTACACCCTCGAGAAGTACCGCAAGTTGCTCGCTCGCATCCAGTCAGAGTGTAACCTACCAATGGGGTGGACCCCCCACAGTGCCCGAGCAGGTTTCGCTTCAGAGGCCACAGCGTGGGGTATGTCCTTCGAGCAGATCCGAGAAACAGGCCGTTGGAAGGTGGACAGTTCCCTTCGAGTATACATCGACATGGTCCAGGCCGCCCACATAGCCGTGGGGCTCAAGTCGGCTGGGTGGGGTCCAGCCTTCGATTGGGCCGGCCAACGCTGGGCCTGGTGTGCGCTACGGGCGTTTCATGGCGCCGAAGGGCTCCAGACGCCGGGCTGACGGGTCGTGGGCTACACCAGAAACGATACCGACAGCCAGATCGAGTACGCCACCGCCATCACCTTTCTCTTCCGGGCACTCGTCCTGGGCACTACCGAGCTACCCACCTACTCCGACCAGTTTGGTTTCACCTTTTGGGCTGACGCCGACGCCGCCGCCGACGGGTATGGCGACACCGCCGATGACCAAGGCGGCGCCTGGAGTGCCGACCTCCTGGGCGACCCCCAGGCCGCAGCCGACCCGCCGACGAGTTTCCTCAGTGTGGTACCTGTGGAAGTTGTTAAAGATGTCTTCCAGCTGCAGCGGCAGCTGCAGCTGTGCTGTGCTCATCATGGCGGTGCTACTGACTACAGCGTGGAGCCCCTTGTTCGCACGTTCTATGAGCATCGCCTCGGACGTGGCCGAGGTCGGAGGGGCGGCAGGCCGCATGATGGGCGCAGGCGCGAACGTCTCGTCGAGTGCGGCACGGATCTTAAGCGCCCTCACCGACAACACCCTCAGCCTCGCCGAGACCGCATGGGAAGGCATCGACCTCACGAATGTTACGGTCAACAGCTCCGCCGGCCGCATCTTTTCCGATGGAAACGAGTACGCCGAGGACGTACTGACTACGCCAGAGGCTCGAGCGGTGATGGGACTGCCCGACCACTGGCTCCAGGCGTTGGCGGATATTTTGATTTTTGCATCACCTTCTCGTCCGCTGGTGGAAGTACACAAGCACCTCTTCATCATCGACTCATCCTATACCTCCCTGGAACTTTGGATGGCCTGGTTCGATACGGGCCATGTGGGCTTGGCCTGGAGGACTGCAGCTGTTACCTACAACGTACGCTGGGCCAATCCCTTATGGTCGCTGACCGAGGACGCTACCACTCAGACGATTCGGATCTCAGAGCTGCTGCAAGAAGCTATCCAGGCGACTATCGACAAGCCAGACCTCGCTCTGTCCAAGTCAGCCCTACTGCACGCTCCAGCCATCACACCACCCTCAGTGCCGATGAGGATCTGGAAGTGGAGCAAGCGCCTAGCCGCCTGGGCTTGGCCGCGAGACGGGAACGGGGCCTTTCGCTCGTCATCGGCGCCTGGCGCCGAAGACGAGTCCTTCGCCGCCGACGGGACCGCCGCCGACGAGGGCTCCCCGGACACAAGGACGGGCGAGGGCGACAGCTACAGCGGGCCTGCCGAGCCCTCAGCATAGGCCGCAAGCGAGTACGGGTTTGGTGGAGCGAGGACCTAGCGAAGATCAAGGTCGACCGAGTTCTTTTCTTTCAACGCAGGCTATCATCAATCAGATTTCACGTTCATTGCAGTCTGCCGGGGAGGTGTGCGCTGACCGCACACAGATGTGAATATTTCTCAGCAGTGAATGATAACAAGTTATCTCTCGAGGTCCGTGCAGGAAAACGTTGAGTGAGTTTTCAGTAGCGCCACGCGCTGGCACGTCCCGGCCTCTAGGGCCCAAGTGCCCAGAGCCTCCAGGGTGTGGCGTCTAGGGCTGTACGCTTAGGCTCTCTTAGGTCCTCTTAAGGTTCCTTGGGCGGGGCCCCGTTCTTTGGGATCGCACCTGAAATGTATACATGTATGTATGTATGTATGTATGTATGTATGTATGTATGTACGTATGTATATGTATATATATATATATACATATATATATATATATATATATATATATATATATCGTACATTCATATGGACATAAGTACAAGTATGTGCATTGACAATGATGTATTGTTTTCCTAATGTGGGCCTCGCTGTGGGTAGCCTAGACGCCGGGCTCGTATGGGGGATTCCTCAAAATGCAGATTTCGACCACACTTTTGGGTGGCGCTCCAGGGTCAATGTTGGACGATGCTAGGCCCAACTTGGACCCCAAAACGAAGCCCAAACCGGCCCCGAAACGGCCTGGTTTTTGGTGGCGTTCGGACGGGGTTGCGGCCCAACGCGGAGGTGCTCTCGCGCGGGCCGTCCAGAGGGCCCCCTGGGCCGCCTCGTGCCCTGCCTGGCATCTCTTGGGCCCTTCCCGAGGCCCTCTTCGGCCCTCGCTGGCGCCTTGTGGGCCGTTTTCGGATCGTCGTTGGCTGATCTCGGGCAGTGTTCCAGCTACCTCTGGCCACCTGCTGTGGCTAGAAGATACGGGCTGCAGAGAGCCAGCGTCCTACCGCTGATCCGTTGGTGATGATGACAGGCCAACGACTCATCGACGATCTCGGCATCGATCAGCCACGCGGCACGACTGAGCCCAATCTACGATGGGATGGAGAAGAAATAAGACCCAGGAAAAATACAAAACACACGCGTGGGGGAGTCTTCCATTATCTTCGGAATATTATCACCCAGTCTTGGCGCCGTCTGCATCCCGTCCGGCGACAACTGGAATGGGCGTGCAGTGAACGCGAAGCATCTTAAATAATTCCGAAAGCCTTCCAACATCAGATCTTCCCCATGTTTCTGCTCCCCGTCGAAACGTCCCCACCTCCTCCTCCTCCACCTCCTCCTCCTCCTCCTCCTGGACACGATCTCGAGGCGGAAATCGGGCCGTGGCGGGCCCCCTATCCCCCCTCGAATGTTTGGATGTTACAGGCATTACGACTCTCAACCCACGCACCTAAAGTGAGAGGAGGAAGAAGAAGAGAAGTGGAGAAGCCCTGTCGCCTTCGCCGAAGGCGGGATGTTCGAGACCACCACCCTCTGCGCCGGGGGCACCTCTCGGGACGAGAGCGACGAAGAAGACGACGACGGCGGCGGCGGCGGCAACGGCGGCGACGACGACGGCAACAGCGACGACGACGGCAACAGCGACAACGACGGCGGCGACGACGACGGCGGCGGCGACGACGACGGCGGCGATAGCGGCGACAACGACCGCGACAACCCCTGGACCTGTCTATGGGTCTGCAGCGGCAAGGAGTTCAAGGGCCGAGGACCCCTCCAGGAGCCACAGGGCGTCCAAGAGAGCACCAAAGACAGTTTAGATCCATCATATCATTATCCCCGCCACTATGACCATCCCCGCTCTCATCATCATCATCATCATCATCATCATCATCATCATCATCATCATCATCATCATCATCATCATCATCATCATCACGATCATCATCATCATCATCATCATCATCCTAAGCAGCAGCATCATCGCCATCATCGACATCATCATCAACATCATCATCATCACCATCATGAACAACACCATCATCATCATCATCAACGTCACCATTGTCATGACTTCTTGAAATGTCCTCGATGTCGTCATCACACTTATCGTCAACATGACCATTCTCGCCATCATCGACATCATCGTCATCAACGCCCACGTCATGCATCATCATCATCATCATCATCATCATCATCATCATCATCATCATCTGCACCATCGACCGTCGCCATCATCGTCATCATTCTGATTTTGGCGGTTATCACCATCAACACCATCACCATCACCATCACCACCATCAGCAGCATCAGCATCATCAACATGATCCTTCGTCATCGTACTCATCAGCCTAATCACCACCAGCATTACCATGGTCACAGTCATCACCATCATAATCACCATTACCGTCCATACCATCATTAGCAGCATCATCACCATCACCATCACAATCACCCTCAATATCATTACCATCAACATCATCATGGCCTCAACACCATAACAATCACCACACTCATTACCATCATCACCATCATCCTCTCCATCATCACCATCCTCACAATCATCACCATCACCACCGCCATCCGCATCATTACTATTACCATCATCATCACCATACCCTTCACTACTACCATCACCATCAACATCACCATCGCCATCATCATCAGCAACACCATCACCTTCACCATCACCATCCTCCTCCTCATCATTATCACCATACTCACCATCACCAACATAACCATGATCACCAGCATCGTCATGATCAACTTCATCATCATCATGATCAGAATTGCCATTATCATCGCACATCGTCGTGCTCAGCATCATCACCAACATTACCATCATGGCTGCTATGATTGTCATCAGTATCATCAGTATCACCATGTGCATGGTCATCATCATCATCACCATCATCACCATCATTAACGAAATCATCGCAATTATCGTAACGATTATCATCAACAAAAACAACACCATCACCATCATGATTACTACCACAGCCGACATCAATATCATCAGCACCATCACCATCACCATCACCATCACCGTCAACATCATTATCATTATCATCACTCTCACCACCACAATCCTCATCACAGTCATTACCACGATCACAATCATCAACATCATCACCATCACCATCACCATCATCAATCCTCACCATCATTATCACCATCATCACCATCACCATCACCATCATCATCACCATCAGCAGGATCACCGTCACCATCAACATCACCAACATCATCAACGCCAGCATCATCATCAGCATCATCACGACCATCATCATCATCATCATCATCATCATCATCATCATCATCATCATCATCACCATGATCATCAGCATCATCACAATCATCATCACCATCATGATCATCATCAGCATCATCATCAGCATCATTACCATCATCAGCACTATCACCATCACGATCATCATCATGATCATCACCATTATCAGCATCATCATCATCACCATCACCATCATCATCATCATCATCATCACCATGATCATCAGCATCATCACAATCATCATCACCATCATGATCATCATCAGCATCATCATCAGCATCATTACCATCATCAGCACTATCACCATCACGATCATCATCATGATCATCACCATTATCAGCATCATCATCATCATCATCATCATCATCATCACCATCACATCATCATCATCATCATCATCATCATCATCATCACGATCATCATCATCATCATCATCATCGTCATCATCATCATCATCATCATCATCATCATAACAATCGTCATCATCAACATCATCGTCAGCATCATCATCAGCATCATCATCATCATCCCCCTTGATCCTGCTCCTGTTCCTTCTCTTCGTCATCGTCGCGTCGACGCTTTGACAACCTCCCCTGGGGCCTCCACCCGCTTCTTCGCGGCCGTCGCCGCAGCCGTGGCCGCCTGCGCGGCCACCCGTTCCGCAGCAGCCCTGTCGGAGGCTCCAGCCTTGGCCGGCGCCTGCGCCGCCGCCGCCTTGCCTGCCGCCCTGGGCGCGTCCTCTGGCGCGTCCACCGCCGCGCCGCGGCGGCGCCGCTTCTTCCACGGGGCCTCCGCGTCCGGCGCCGCTGGCTCTGCCGCGGGGGCCGCCGCGCCGCCGGGCGCCGCCGCGCCAAAGGCGGCGAGCGCGGGCGCGGCCGCGGCGGCGTGGCCCGCCGCTGGCACGCCCCGCTCGGGGGGCGGCGGCGCCTTTGCGGGCACGTGGCCGTGCGCCGCGTCAGCGGGCGGCGCCTTGAAGCCCGGCGGGGCGGCCGCGTGCGGCGGGGCCCCAGGGGGCGGCGGCACGGGCTGCAGCGGCGGCGCGAGCGAGAGCCCCGCGGTGGGCGGCACGCCCGCCGGGGCCGCCGCGGCCGCGCCCGGCGCCGCCAGCCCCGCCGCCCAGCCCCCTGGCGTCGTCATGCCAGCCATGCTTCCCGGCGCCGTCATGCCGGCTGGCATCGTCGGCAGCCCCGCGGCCGGTGCCGCGGGCACGACGCTCGGCAGCGCGTGAAGCATCTTCGGTGGCGGAGGCTGCGCCCCGAAGGCCGGTCGGAACCCGCTGGGTGGCCCCGGCGCCGCCTTCAGCGGAGGCGGCACTGGCGGAGGGGCTGGGATCGGCCCCTGGCGCGGGGGGAGGGGTCCGTGGGCTGCGCCTGGTCCTCCTCGCCCGCCCTGTTCCTCCACACGTTCCTCCTCGATCTCTTCCTCCTCCAGTCCAGGGGAAGACAGAAAGGGGGGAGGAGGAGGAGGATGAGGAGGAGGAGGAGGAGGAGGGTTGAGGGTTGAGGGTTGAGGAGGGAGGAGGAAGGATAGGGAGGGATTAGGGGGAAAGGGATGATGATGATGATGATGATGATGAGGAGGAGGAGGAGGAGAAGGAGGAGTTCTAGAGTTCTGGATACGATGACCATGTCAGGGAAAGCTTAAATATCCGATGTTTGCTGTAACGCCTTTTTGACCAGCTCAGTTTTACTGTAAGCTTTTAGGCTGTAGGCCACGAGAAATCCGATCTAAGTAATCGCGCCGATTACCCTCGATTCGGTCTGGACATGCCTCAACTAAGTGTGCCAAATGCTGAGCTGCGTAGAAACCACAAGCCGTGCAAAACCAGACCCCCAGTCCCGCGTGGTACCTGATCTTATGATTCTGGCCAACCGCTATGTGCAGTCGGAGGAGGAAGAGGAGGAGAAGGAGGAGGAGGAGACGGAGAAAGGAGCAGGAGGAGTGCGAGAGGACGGGGTGAGGAAGGAGGGAGGGAGGGGGTGAAGAGGATGAATGGCGAGGGGGACGATGGGGGACAAAAAACGAGGAGAAAGTCGAAGAGAACCGGAGGAGGAAAAGGAGAAAGTGGAAGAGGAGGAGCAAGGAGGTGGCTGAGAAAAACGTAAAGGAATGAGGGGCCTCCTCCTCCTCCGCCCTCCATCCTCAACCTTTTCCTCTTTGGGAACACCCAAGAACCGCCAGACCCCTTCCAGAAGGACACCTGAAACCTTCCAACGATGAAGAGGAAGAGGAGGAGGATTAGGAATTTCCTGTTCGCCGCTAGCACGCACCCCATACGTCCCTGTCAGTACGTCCGCAAGCCGGGCGCACAGCGGGCGGGCGCCCAAGTGAGGGGCGGGGACGCCGCAAGAACAGCACAACAGACGCAAAAACGGGCCGACAGGCGCGGCGGAAGGGTACTCTGATGAACGGTCGGCGTTACCCTGGCGCGCGAGCGACAAGGACAGCAGAAATCATCGTCCCCAGACCTGGCGACGGCCCAGAGCCAGGCGAATGGCCCACCCAACGACCACCACCACCACCACCAGCGGCATCAGCACAGCGGAGCAGCAGCGGAGAAGACACGCAAAGGGGAGGGAACACGCAACAATACCAGCGACGAATCAGCAGCAGCAGAAGCAGCAGCAACAGCAGCAGCAGCAGCCGCAGCAGCCACAGCAACCGCAGCAGCCTCAGCAGCAGCAGCAGCAGCAGCAGCAGCAGCAGCAGCAGCAGCAGCAGCAGCAGCAGCATGGGAGCCCACACAGGGGAACTGCCACGGGGGGAGGGGAAACACCCCACAGAAAAACGAGAACCCAAGAGCCCGTTCGTTTATTCGGGCCGGTCACGCGCGTGACCAGGGGGAGGGTCGTCGCGCCGGTCACGCCACGACGGGGGTGCGCATGTGGTGCCGCATCATGCCCGTAAGCACCGCAGTGCGCCTGCGAAAAACAGTCGCCTGTGACCCGACAGTCACGACGTGCCTGCGACCAGCGCCACGCTCCTTTTCCCGCAGGCGATAGCCTCGCACTTCCACGAAACCGCGCCGAGAAAGCGGCTGCAACGAAAACGAAGGGCCTCGCTCTTCAGCGAGAAAACCTCGCGCGGAGGTGGCCGCGCGCAGCGCAGACCCTGGAGAAGCTCCTCTCGGGTGCGCAAAAAAATGGATTGGCGATCCATGGATTTGGCGCGCTGTCGCCAAACCCATGGATCGGGGGAGATGCCCTCCCCAAAATGCGGCCGGTACCGCCCCGTTCGGCGGTAGAAATACTGCCGCGGCGACACGTAAAGACGAAACTCACGAAGACGAACCAGCCCGAACCCAACAAGTTAGTTAAGAAGAAGACGAATCGTCATGCCAAAAAGTTAACAGTTAGGAAGACGAAGACGAAGACGACAGCGGTCATCCAGATTTTGTGGAGTTAGGACAGCGGGACGCTGTCTTCCCCCCACCGGACACCAGCTCCACAAGAAACTCCCATCTGTAGCTATGCACCGGCACCAAACACGACATAACACTGCCAATGTGTCGATATTCTGACACCAAGCAAGCAAGGCAGGAGGCAACGAAACATTCCAAACGACCGAACGACGCGCGTTGTGGATTTTGCTTGGTTTGGCGAGTGTGGGGTGGCGATTAAGATGGGGAGGTGTGGCTTGACAGTTATGGAAAGAAGACGAATCGCCCCCACGAAAAGTTAATAGTTAGGGCATAGAAGACGAATCCACAAGAAGACGAACCAGCCCAACCGAAAGTTAATAGTTAGAAAGACGGAAGACGCACGACGAACCCCAACAACAAGTCAATAGTTTCGTCATTACGTGTCGCCGCGGGCATGATTTTCCCTGGAAGCGGGACCCGTCGCTAATCCACGCCCCCTTGATCCATGTTTGCGATCGCCTGATCCACGCCAGCGGTTCGGGTGCGAGTTTATTTGGGGCGCCTCCCCCGCGGCGGCATCTCCTCCAGCGAGTGGCGACGAGAGGGCGGCAGAGCCGAAGAGGGAAGCAGCGGGGCGGCGGCGGGGGCGCACCTGGGAGCGCGGAACCGCCGCGGGCGACGAGAGATGCAGAGAGAAAGAGGCGGAGGAGGCAGCGGAGAGAGCGGGAAAAAGTACACAGGCCGCCAGCGACTCCGTGAGTGGGGGCCCTGGCGCGATGAACCACGGGCGCAGAAAATGCGAAACAAAAAGCAAACCCGCCTCGCAAAGATGGGGGAGGCTGCGCACGGCAAGGGCCCACCGACTCCCCAGGGCCCACTGCCCACGCCGATGCGCCGACGCAGAGACCCCCCCCCCCCGGAGGAAAGGAGGCATGGCCAGGCCGAGGAAGGGGCTCGCTCCACCGGCGCTGCCCTCGCACGGCCAGGCGCGCCGCCCCCGCGGCAGGAGGGGCCCGCCCCGGGAGGGAGCTGGGCAAGAGAGGCCCGCGTCGACGGGAGCAAGCGATGCGCCAAGAATGGAGGCGAGGAAACCGGGAAACCCAGTCAGGGCGCGGAATATCAGCAAAGCCATGCATGGGGCACGCGCCACCTCAATCCCTCGGTCGGGCGCCGCGAAAAACTGCGGCTACTGTCATGCGAGCATCAAAGACCTAGGACGGACTCAGAGTGGAGTCCAGTGGATGGCGGGCCCGGGTCTTTCAGGGGCGCGCTCGCACGCGCGGCGGCAGCAATGCCGCGATCGCTGTCCCATTTCGGCCCTACGAGGGCCAGCGCGGCGAACCGCGACTCCTCATCCTCGGGCAATTCCTCCCAAGCCCTGGCGTCCACGGGAGAGCCGATGATTTCAGCGCCGCGCAGTGCTAATAGCAAAGCATGTCCCGAGGGCCCCCACGTCAAAAAAGGAGCGCCCTCGCCCCTCGCAGCGAACGCGCTCAGTGGCACGAGAGCCCCGGGAAAGGATTCGACGGATTCCTCTGGCGAGGTGGACGTACGTGGCCTTTTCCAACGCCTTCAGCCTGGATCGCAGCGCGCGCACTGCGGAGCTGCGAGGTTGGACTGTTGGCGGCGCCAGAGCTAATGCACCTGATCATTGAGATGTTTCACCAGTCGACTGTTTGTCCAAGATGGCAACGCGTGCGCCATCGCAATGTCCACTGGACAGATGCTCGAAATCTTGCAAGGCCTGGTTCGGCGCTTTGCTTGAGAAACACGCGCGGCACTCAGCTGCATTATCCACGATGCCTAGATCCACGAACTCGGGCGGCACTCCCAATCCCTCCATTTGGGTGGGCGCGCAATAGTTCAACGCATGTCTCCGACAAGCCGCGAGGATATGCAGCGCGCCTCTGCGCTGTCTAGCGGCATCGAGCGCCGCCCCCCCAAGCGGCGCCCGACGCCGTAGAACAGAGAGAGAAAGGAGAGATAGAGAGAGAGAGAGAGAGAGAGAGAGAGAGAGAGAGAGAGAGAGAGAGAGAGAGAGAGAGAGAGAGAGAGAGAGAGAGAGAGAGAGAGAGAGAGAGAGAGAGAGAGAGAGAGAGAGAGAGAGAGAGAGAGAGAGAGAGAGAGAGAGAGAGAGAGAGAGAGAGAGAGAGAGAGAGAGAGAGAGAGAGAGAGAGAAAGGAGAAAAGAGAGAAAGAGAGAAAGAGAGAGAGAGAGAGAGAGAGAGAGAGAGAGAGAGAGCTCGCCCGGAATCATCGGATCGTCGTCGGCAATCCCAGCGCATGGGCACGCGCCTGTCTTACCCTCTGCCAGACGCGCGAAGCTACTGCATGCTCCGCGGGGCCTACCCATAATTGAATCCCGAACCTGATGGCCTGGAACTGACTGCCACTAGCCTTCGCGCGCCCTGGGGGCCTCACCCCCCCGCGAGATGACCGCGGGTCAGCGC